TGAGCGGTTGCTTCTGATTGTGTCTCATATAGCACAGGGCTGGATGGTGTGTGTTTTGGAAATATACCCAAATCTCTTGATAGTGTTAATACTTTAGCATACACCAAACAGAACCTTTCTCTGTAGCAGACAAAATGAAAAATACTGATTTTCACAATTCTGCTCCTGTTTTCTGCCACTAAACTGTTCTTGTCCTCAGGGGAATGGTAATTGTACTACAGACAGTCACGCACATGCAGAATATTGTATTTATGCTACTAAATTTAAGTACACAACTGTTTGCAAGATCGTAATGGAATGCTATACATGAGTCAGAGAAGGGAGTCTGGTAGTACATGTAAGGGCAGTATATTACTAATAGAAGAAGTTGTGACCTTTTTAAGGTCTTAAAATAAATTCCAGGCCAAACCAAACTTTGTCAGTACAAAATTAGGGTTGTCTGTTATGGCCTTTTGAATGCCAACTTGAGTAAATTCAAACTTGAGAAAAAAACCCTCAAGAATTACAGAGTGAAAGCAAATTACTATTCCCCCACTCCTCTGAAATTACTTTCACGTAGTTCATCTACATGCAAAGTATTAAATACCAAACTTACGGAGAGTGGCTGGAACAGTCTAGCAGAACTCCTCCTGTGATACGAGTTGCAATTAGTAAATCATAAAAATTTAAGTGAATGTTTATAACAGAAGGAAAGCATTGGAACAAGAAGTTCAAGGGATCCATTTTATCTCCTTTCAAAACGTTTTTTTGCTAACTGGTGTCAGTGGCAAGGTGTAGCAATCATTGAGCCACAAAGATTCTGGGCAGTTACGTAGGAGATGATCAGTCTGGGTTAGGTAGGAGATGATCAGTCTGGGTTAGGTAGGAGATGAACAGTCTGGGATTGTCCTGACGAATGAGTAAAATGTGAAATAATACATTGTAAATGAAGGTGAGGAAGTGATTTAGCACAGCAAGTATCAGGTTCTTTTTGTACATCACCCTAAAACGTTTGTCTGTAGGGCATGTGCAAATTGCTCCTGCTCAACAAAGTTCAAAACCAGTGCAAGTATGTGTATTATGGTTATACCGTGAGTCTGACTAATAAAGGTAAGCTATGGCTGTATGAGCAAATTAAACATATATTTCTCTTTTTTTGCAGATATATTAATTACTTTCTTGTTTCTGGAAGTTGGAATTTTATTGATCTGTTTTACCAGACTATAATTTACTATTCAGATGTTGATACAGCTAAGGAAAGGTAAGAATAGGATAGAATTTTTAAACACTCCTTGCTCCTCCCATTGACTTTTTTATAGTACACAGGAAATAATGTTTGTATATGGTTGTAACTTTTATTACTAACCTGATTTGTAAAGCTGCATCTGAAAACCATGGCAATTTTCTTGCACAGCACTGGCAATAACTTAACAAGGAGACTACTACGCATCTCCCTTTTCCCACCTACTGAGCTTTCATGCTCTACAATGTATAGTTAGATTGTTTCTAACATATATTTCACTCCCTTTACATGTTTACTGGCTTTAAAAAGCTATTGGTTTGCTCTAAGTCAGTTCATTTTTTGCCTTAACACTTGTTATCGAATCCTAAATATACAAACCACAGCTCTTTGGACAGTGAAGATGATTAAGCTTTAGGGATCCCATATTCTAATTGACCTCCCTCATGTTCCTACACTGCCCAACTTCCTGCCTTTGCTGTGAGTAGATATCTTTCCTCTACTGTCTGTATTTCCTGATTTTCAGAGGTTTAAATCTGGGTTTAGTTCAATGCCCTACACCCACGAATCTGCTTCAGAAACAGGTGAGCTGATAAAGTAATTCATGCTGCCTGAGAATTCATGTTTTCTTCAGATCCTGGTACAAGCTCAGGGACAGGAGGAAAGGGACTGAGATCTTTCTTGTGCCTCAGACAGAAAAATAAGACAGAGGAACTTAAAATATTCCCCAATGGACAGGGAAATCCCTGAGCAATGGATTCGTGCCTGCCGTAGAATTAACTTTTTCTTGGATATCATGCTTGACATTGCTTTTTCAAAAGAACAGTAAATGCCATGCACTAGCTGAAGTAACTACTAACCACATAACATTGTCTGCACTTTTTCAGTCCTATAGTTGTATTAATAAAACAAACAATAGTTATTTTCTCCTGAAGTCTTGCTCTGTTGTCCAGGAGTTCCTCTGCGTGGTGCAAAGCTACACAGGCACCAGAAGCACTCAGACTATTGTGGTCATAAGAGCCAAGAACTAATCACCAAGCTTTCTATGAGGCAGCAAGCAGACTGATGAGCTCTTTGTCTGAGAAACCATGCACACATGCATCACATCAAGATAACACAGGAATGACAAGAGCGAGCTAATGTCATCAAGGACGACCAGGGGGACGGAGGAGAAGGGATAAGGTTGACCGAAGGAAACCTAAGGCTATTTAGCGTGGTAAAATTCACACTCCTGAGAGAAGACCTCACATACTGATGTAGTACCAACTCTGTGTAATGAACTAATCAACAATCAGAACATGCGCAGGAATATACCAGTTATGTTATTTAAAGTTGACCAATGAGCACCTTCTTCCCTGTTGTAACCTGTACAAAAGCCTACAACTTCTCCAAAAAGGGGTGCTAGTTTTGGCCAATTACCACCCCGCACCCTTTTCTGTACACAACTGCATTAAAGGCCAGAAACGGGATCTCGACTCCGTGCGCTTGTCAGCTCCAGCGCACTGGGCACGACCCTGCTCCCTGGTTAAGGGACAAGAGCCGCCTCTCTCTACGCAGATTCCTCTCCCACACCGAACTCAGTGCGCACTCTTCCCGCGCCGTCTGCAGGGCCTCCTCCCTCCCGGCCCGCTCCCCTGCAGCCGCCTCAGCACCTCCCGCCTGCCACCTGCCTTCCTCTCCCGCAGCCACCCACCCGGGCTGCCCGCCCTTCCCTCAGGGGAGCCCCCAGCCAGAGGCTC